TACGAGATCGGCGAGTATAGTGGAGAGGAAATGGTGAGAGAGGGCGACGGACTGGAGATGAAGGTGAAGAGGTGGAGGAGGAGGATGGAGAAGACGGTGTCGGTGGGGAATGAGAAGGAATGAGAGGTGCCGGAGGAAGAGGTGACACATGAGGCACATAGCCGGGTGTGTCAGGAAGGAGCAGGAAAGAAATGTTGTCCACAGAGAAGCTCGAGGAAGAAGAACGTGGGTAGTAAGAACAAGACTCGTCAAAAGTCACATCACGCGAGATGCGCAAGCGACGACCCACATGATCCCAACATCGATAGCCCTTGTGCTCATCACTGTAGCCAAGAAAGACACACTCAACCGACTGAGCAGTCAGTTTGGTGCGTTCTCGTGGGGCAAGAAGGACATAACACACATATCCAAACATCCGAAGAGCGGAGTAGTCAGGGGAACGTCTAGTGAGACACTCCATAGGAATACCACCCTGCAAAGCAGTCGATGGCTGAATGTTGATGAGATAAGTGGATGCAGAAACAGCCTCAGCCCAAAAGTGAGGCGGAAGGGAAGCGGCAATCATCAGCGCACGAGCCGTTTCAAGTAGATGACGATGCTTACGTTCGGCAACGCCGTTTTGAGCATGAGCACCAGGACATGAGAACTGGGCAAGAGTACCCTGTTCCGCAAGAAAACCACGCAACAGCTGAGAGATAAACTCACCAACGGAGTCAGCACGAAAAGTATGAATGGGCATGGAAAACTGGGTGCGAACCATGGCAGCAAAACGTTTGTATATAGAGAGAACCTCGTTACGAGATTTCATGAAGTAGAGCCAGGTGTAGTGAGAGAAATCATCAATAAACAAGATATAATAGCGATGACCACCTTTCGAATCAAAGGGGGCAGGACCCCAAACATCAGAATGAACCAAGTCAAAAGGACGCTGAGATACCGACTCACTGGTAGGATAAGGCAACTGGGTCTGTTTGCCAAGTCTGCAACCATTACAATGTAAAGAAAAATCTCCAGATACAGACCCCAAGAGGCCCTGACAAACTAAGGAAGACAAGCGAGAGCCACAGATGTGACCAAGGCGATGATGCCACTGCTGGAAGGACGCAGGCGAAGAGGCAGCAAGAGCATGGGAGCTGGAAGGAGTGGTGGCAGTGGAAGGAACACGAAGCCAGTCAACCTCCCAAAGGCCCTCCGACTCACGGCGCCGGGGGCCAGCACCAACCAAAGCCTTGGTGCGTCGATCCTGAATGGAGCAAGAGTCGGCATCAAGGATGACACGACAACCAGAATCAGTAAGTTGGGTAGCAGAAAACAGATTCATGGTAAGACGAGAAACATGTGAAACACTAGGAACAGAAAAAGAGGAAGTGGAAAGAAGACCACGAGTAGCAACAGAAAGAGGTGTGCCATCGGCGGTAAGAACATTAACAGACGAATCAAGAGGTCGGAGAGAAGACAACACAGAAGAATCGGAAGACATATGGAAGGAGGCTCCAGAATCCAAAACCCACGAAGATGTACCTGACTGTGTAGATTCTTGCGGTGGTGGAGAAGTGGCTGCAGTCACAGCAGCAGCTGAGCCAGTCGACGAAGAGCCTGAGGAAGCCAGGAGGCGTTTGAGCCTCAAAATGTCCTGGTCAGTGAGTGACGGAGTCGAGGAAGATCCAGGAGTCCCACTGGAAGAGGAGCGCCGCTGGTCTCGCTTCTTCTCACGGCAATCAGACTCTGGGTGACTGGGCCGAGAGCAGTAGCCACAGAAGGTGTCACGGCGCGACCGACCCCTCTTAGTATAAGCAGGGCGACTCACCCCCCCTGAAGGTGTGGGGAGGAGCGGTGGAGCGGTGAGCCGAGCAGACGACACAGGAGCCCGAGCAGCCAACACAAACGAGACCATCACCAGACCAGCAGAGTGAAGGCGGGTCTCCTCAGCACGAAGCTCAGCAAGCACCTCCGAGATTGGAACACGACCACGAGCAAGCAAGTGAGCATGTCTGGGCTCAAACTCAGAGTGGAGACGAGATAAGAACTCATGGACCCGCTGAAAGTCCAGATCTGACCGATTAGTCTGACAGCAACGACAGGTGCCATAAACAACTGTCCGAAGAGAGTCAAGCTGACGCCAGGTGGTAGAGCACTGTGAATAGAACTCATCAACAGAGGAATCACCTTGCTGGAGGGCGTGCTCCTGACGTACCACAGAGAGATAGAGAGTATCACCAGAGGGCTGATAGCGCTGACAAAGATAAGACCACATCGCTGCAACTATGCCAAGTCCCATGAACTCCGAATCAAACTGAGGGAGGACACTGGCAGTAAGAACAGCAGCAGCACAAGCATCGTCATTGCACCACTGAGTGTAAGCAGAGAGATCATCCCGGTACGCCAAAAGAGCATCGAAGTAAGCAGATACCTGCTGATCATAGGCATCAACTGCAGCATCATCAAGGGCCTTGGCGGCATCCCGGTCAGCCTCGGAAGCCTCAGCAGCAAGTACCGGCGGCACCGGTGGGATTGGGGCCACAGGCGCAACAAGACATGGCGGGCAGGGAACCTCGCCAGAAAAAACACCCCACAGAAGAAGACCACGCATATGGATGCACGTGAACCCCACAAACTCAGCATAGTTGGTGCCATCGAAGATCACGGAGCACCTAGGAACTGCAACATAGCCCGAGGAAGACATGGGGGAACTCTCTGTTTCTCCCTTTTTTTTCTTTTTGGTTAACGCTCCCCGATCTGGATCGGGGCGGAAAAACTCACGCTAGCCCCGAGTGGGGAATCGGGAGGCCAGGAGGAGAGCCGGCCCTGGGCCGCAGCTGCGGCAGCAGATGAAGCAACGGCAGCTGCAGCCAGATGCGGAGGAGGGCGGCCTGGGCGCGGGCGGCCAGAGACACGGCCGGGGCGCGCTGAAGGAGGTGCGGTCGGGGCGCAGCCAGGGCGTAGGCGGAGCGCGGCTTGGGCGCGGCGGGGGCAAGGCCAGGACGCGGTAGGGGCGAGGCCAGGGCGCGGCCTGGGAGCGGTCGGGGCGAGGCCTGAACGCAGCCGGGCGGGGAGGGCGCGCCCTGGGCGTGGATGAGCTCGGCGGGCGCAGTCAGGGGCTGCCGGGCGTGGAGAAGGTGGCCGGCAACGAGGAAGGAGATGGCCGGCGACGGGGAAGCTAGGCACGGAGTTGCAGCGTGCGGAAGAGGAAGAGGAACCTAGCAACTGATACCATGTTGGATAAGTGAGCAACTAAGCTTTACGAAGGGCCAATGGCCAGTACATATATAGATGTGGTAAAGTGCAGAAAAGTCTCTTATACAATGTGGATGTACACAATAAACTATACACATCTAACAGTTACCTCGTCAGCTTGCAAGTCTGAACCGTGTTCTACTCATCGGCAAGTGGCCTGGTTTGTGAAATAGTACCACCGACATTTACTCATTTACCAATAAGAATGGTGGAATGGTCCATTCTAAGAAGACCGTAAGTCAACGCTGACGCTAAAAATAAAGATAAACCACACATATGAAATTATGTGCTCAATTTTCTTTGTTCTGGAAGTGAACCTTATTTTGCACAATTATTCGGTGTTTCTACATGTTTTCTTAACATTCCTGTATTTTTAAGCAACTATTTTGAGCTCAAAAATTCTTTCAAGGAAATTAAGCAATTGCTGATGAGATTAATGTTTGCTGACATGCCTTGTGGCCAATTTAAGATGCGTCCACCATTAGGATTATTCGGCACCACGTGTATCCTTTCACTCATATTACTATCATTTTCCTCTAAAAGAAAAAAAATTAAGGCATGTGTTTCCCAACAGGTTTTATTTTATTTACAGTAGAATGTCTTGATTGCAACTTTTGCCAACTTTGCTACTTTACCGTTGAACTAAAGGAAAGAAAATGAGCTGTTTTCACCACCCTTGTTGTTGGCTTACATTTGTAAATTTGAACATCTTGATGTACATTTATGCTATGCAGTGATAGCTTAAAACTGAATAACTGTTTAGTAAAGGCACTGAAGATTACTGACAACTTTGGACCTAGTTCCCCAGAGACCGTGTGACAAATTGCTGGACTCATGAGATCTTGATGTTTCATTGGCCACACTCATGAGATCGTGTGACAGATTGCAGGATTTGTGCAACATGCATGGATTGTATCCTTACACAGTAATTTTAAAGCAGTTACTTTCAGAACCGTCCTTAAATGTTTGGCAGCAGCGAGTTACTAGTTTTATTGTCAATTTATATAGAGGTAGTGCTAATTAAAATTAGCATTTTTTTAATAGTATCCACTATTGGCAACCACTTATCATTTATTTTTATGAGAAACAGAACTTCAGCATTTGTGACATTCGTTGAGGGATGCTAGATAAGCATCACTCATCTATTGGAAAAGACTCAGAGGCCTATAAGCAAACCTTTTTAGCTTAGCTGCACATCGCATGTTTGAGGGCTAATCCATTCCGTTATTACTTCAGCAGGTTGCGACATCAACAAAAGGCGCTGTACCTCTGTTGGTGGCATGTAACAATTTGCCATCTCAATCAGAATCATGTCTCTGGACAGTTTGTTACAAGGCTCCTATCCCCTTTGGAAACTGCATGCCTCAACTGAAGAAAAGAACTATCATTTCTCTCAACCACTCTCATGACACCAGAATTTCTGTTCTGTTGTATGCTTCTCTGACAGCAGTTGTTACCGTGCTCGTCTCCTTGGAGCCAGACAGATAGCCAGCCAGCCAAGAGTGCCCAGAAAGCTAGCATCCCTGCTTCAGCGCCACTCCTGCAGATTTTTCTACGCGGGTATTGGGAGTTTTCTGTAACTTAGGTGGCAAGTCATGGTTCTTGCTTGTTGCTACTGGGAAACTGGTTGCTTGGGGCTAGCTGCTGGTGGCCAGTGTGCTGTTGAAGTGGAAGCAAAGAAACCAGCGGCCACTCCCCTCCATATAAACCCCCGGGAGTTTGTGGATGTTTCTTGCAGCCCAGATCCTTGAGGAAGCAGCACGTCCATGGCCTCTGATCGCGTCGAGGTCGACACCGCCCGCCCTTTCCGGTCCGTGAAGGAGGCGGTCGCGGTGTTCGGGGAGCGCATCCTCGTCGGCGGGAGCAACTCCAGATACAGCAGCAGTGCGGTTGCCATTGCCGACGCGCATGCCAATGCCACCCCTAACGCCAAGCACGAAGATAGCAGTAGGAGCAGTACCACCACCCTTTCTCCAAATGCAATGGCAGAGGTAGATGCGGAGCTAGAGCCAGAGGCAACGGCAGCTATCGTGCCTATGTACTCCGCGCACTCCTCGCCGTCGTTCACGTCGCCGCGTTCGGCGTACGGCGACGACGGCGAGCTTGGTTGCCAAGACGACGAGGCCGGGCTCGCGGTCGTGAGCTCCATCAAGAAGCTGGAGGCGGAGGTGGCCGATACGAGACGGGAGGTGCTGCAGCTCAGGAAGAGGGGCACCGAGATGGAGATGGCCGTGGCCAGCCTCAACGCGCAGCTCCACCGAGGCCTCTCGAGGCTGGCCGAGATCGAGGCCGACAAGGCTGCTGCGGCGGCGGCACGGCGCAGCATCGGCGGGGACACCGACGTGATGGCGGCGGCCATGGTGCGGAGCGAGCGGTGGGCCGAGAAGTCCAGCACGTACAGCAGCGAGTACCTGCCGTCCTTCAGCCACGCGCTGAGCCTCGGCGAGATCGACGACGACCTGCTCGGCGGCAGGAGGAGGAAGGCGCAGAAGGTGAAGCCCATCGTGCCCCTCATCGGCGACATCCTCTTCTCCAAGAGTTTCTCCAGGAGGAAGAGCGGCAAGGACAGCGGGGATCTCTCCAGCGTGTTAGGGTGATCATCACTTTTGCTTGCTGCGTGCTCAGGTTGTGGCTGCTTGCGTTGCGTGTGGTTTGGATGGAGCATGTGCTTTTTTTGGTCCTTTCTTTCTCTTTGGTCGGGGTTTTTCATTTTTCTTTGTGCTCTTGTTTGTGCGAGCCTGTAAATGTAAAATACTGATGAATGCTTGTATCTACTCCCTCTGTCTCAAAATGTAAGAGTGTCAAAAATGATGTTATATTTTGGGACAGAGGGAGTGTGTGTTAGGTGATAACTATTCACATAGCTGTTTTCGGCCTTATACAATGCTAGGTGCCTAAGGAGGTGCTTAAAAAAATAAACTGAATTTTTCTAAAGCACCGTGCTTAATTAAGCGTATGCTCTATACAAATAAGCACCGGTGTTTAAGAAAAGCCTGGTTTATTTGTTCAAACACCTCTTCTAAGCACCTTGCATTATACAAGGTTTTAGAGTAGAGTTGTTTGGCTATCGCAGTTTTTTCAAGCCGTTTGCCACGCTTTTTAAATAAAGCCATGTGATCGAACCTGGTCAATAAAAACACAACACAACAAATCAGACATGCTAAAAAGCGCAAAAGTGCACAACTAGACTTCCCTAGAATGCCACCAACAATAAGCACGTGATATAACCTGAACATGCAAGAAAAATGACACACCGTGCCGCCGTCGCGTCCGCCTTAAAAGAACAAGAGTTACCACCGTTAGTGCTGGCAAAAAAGGGTTGCCAGACCAATCAAGGCGACGCTCCAAGAGGGACATGACACCTGCAAGCATTATCACCATCGTCAGCATGGACGAAGCTTTCGCTCGATACCTCCTGCACACCTCTCCTAAAGGACCCAAACCACCGTGGTCCCCAAAGGGGAACAACCCTGTCGAATGGGCACTGGCCCATATAAGGGAAGACCACACCACTCCAATACCACTTGCCACCATGCACCTAGCCATTCACATGACCAAAGAATGCAGACAACACCGCTGCAACAGTGCTTGCTAGAGAGCCAAATGCGCAGTCTGCCACCAAGGGCCACTCCCTATCATCTACAACCATAATCCCGAACATCGAGCCACACCTGCAACCGCCAACCACCAGGAG